CTTCTTTCTCCATAATTTCTGGAATAGCTGACTGTTCCGGAATTTCTGCTGACTTTTCCAGAATCTCAAGTTGTGTCTGATTGGAGATCTCACAAGGAGTTGTGAGGATCTCGAGCACTTGAGATTGGATCAGTCGCTGAAATTCTTCTTCTTCAGTTGCTTCCTGGTTCTGCTCTTGTGGGGGAGAGGCTGCCTTCTCGTGAACAGTTTCAGTCAGAACCATTTCAAACGCGGGTGAGGATTCCGGAAAGATAGGGAAATCCTCAGCTGTTGTTTCCAAAACAGCTATTTCTTCAGAAGTGGGAGCCATTTGATCTTCTGTGGCTTTTGAGAAGACTGGCTTGTAGACTGCAGTATCTTCATCATTTGCTTCAAAGTCTGAAACTGGTGTAGTGGCCAAGTGTTCCAGATGCAGATCCTCATTGTTCCTTTGCCATACCCAGTAGTCATCCAAGATGTCTTCACAGCAGTGGTTGACTGGTAGTCCTAGGCATTTCTTGTTAATCTTTTCATTCTTCAGCTGTTGGTCCCAATCCAACAGTTGCTCTTCTGAATTTCCAACTTTCCAAGCTCTCCAATTATAGTAGAGTTGCCAGAATTTGTTGTCAGCATCATTTGTATGAGGCTGAGATGAGGTTGGAAGGCTTTGGACTGGAGGGATTTCTTCTTCAAATTGTTGAGGGCTCCGGTTTTGAATAGAGGTTTCCTCAGTAGTTTCCTTCTCCTTCAACTCATCCGAATTGACATTTTTGGATGTTGATGAAGAGTTGATCTTTCTCTTCTTCTTCCTTTGAAGATCTCCATGGTCAGAGACTTCTTCTTCTTCTTCCAAACATACCAAGGCAAGATTCTGTGGTGCTTCAATGGAGGGAGAGGGGGACACCACTTGCTTTCTTTTGGCAGTCTTTGCCATATGGATGAGTAGGACATTATCTGATGAGCTATCTTCTGCAGTGGTACTAGCACTGGCTCTGTTTTCTCCTTTCGAGGATAAGTAGTATAGCCAGTATCTTTCTCCATACTTCTTTCCTTTAGAAGCAATACCCATAGACTCCAAGATATGTCCAACGTATAGTCCTTGACAAAGATATTTCTGGTTGGGCTTTCCCAAATGCTTTGAGATGGAATTGAAAAAGTGTGCAACCGAGTTTACCTTAGTTTTGGTAATGAGAGCGTTGATGATGAAGGCTCTCTCCTGTGTGATGTCATCGGCATGACCTCCACTCCCACATTCGAGGCAGGCGATGACCAGTTCCAAAATCAACTTGTAATCGTTGTTCAGATCTGCTTTCTTTGCTGGGCCAGAAGGAGTTCGCCCAGAAATTCCAATGATGTTCCAGTCCAGATTCTTGACTGGAAATTTCCCAACTTCAACTCCAGAATTGGGAAGGCGAAGCTTTCTTCCCAATTTCTTCTGCGAAAGCTTCACCTTTGAGCCTCCAACAGTGGACTTGATGACTGGAAATGTCCTCTGTGG